GATAGATAGATAGATAGATAGATAGATAGATAGATAGATAGATAGATAGATAGACAGATAGACAGATAGTACAACATGGGATGGGAAGGGACACGAGTCCCCATGCCTAGCTGAGGAGTTATTCACAGTTGATGGCCACTAGAAGGAAAGTTGGGTTTTTTTTAGGTATACAGCCCCTGGTAAGTTGACCATTCTCTAGTAGATGGTCCCATTCCCATGTACATATGGGCAGGAATAATTATACTTAGTAAGTTTAAAAGACTTGAAAGAAAAAGTAGTTAACATTGTCAGGAGATCTGGGAAGAGCTGGAGGGGGGCATGGAGGGGAGTGAATACAATCAGAATATAGTGCATACATATATGGAATTATGAAAGAAAAAAATAAAAACATTATATATTTTTTAAAAGAATTAGAGTTGCCCCTCAATATTTCCAGAAGGTTGATTCCAGTATCCTCCAGAGATGCCGAAATCTGAGTACAGCCAACTCCCTGGTGTGATATGGTGCCTCCCAGTATATACTTATGCACACTTCCCAAAGACTTCAGTCCCTAGATGACACGTGGTGCCTAATACAACACAGACGCTGTGAAATAAACATTACCCTTTATTATTTCAGGGGAATAACAAGAGTCTGTGCAGGTTTAGTACAAACGCAAATTTTTTTCTCAAATGTCTGTCTTCAGTTTGTTGAATAGGAGCCCGTGGGTGTGGAGGGTGTGTATGAGGGGGTAGGGTGGGAGGTCTTCCATGGACAGTGGCCAGACAAAGTCTTTTTACAAAACCATCATTTAAGCAAAGAGCAGCCTGAACCGAAGAAGTGAGTTTAGCAGGGATCTGGGCAAAAAGCATCCAGGCAGATGGGAAAGGTCCTGAAGAGACCTTAACACAAGACGATGACGAGGCAGAACTGGGGGAAGAGGAGGGTAGGAGAAGAAGCCTAGGAGTTCACACACAGGCCGAGAGTGGCAAATCTCACAGGCCATGGATACAAAGGATTTTCTTCTCGGTGCCATGGGGAGCCATGGCAGGCTTTGGGTAGAGCAAGGACATGCTCTCACTAAGCTTTTCAAAGATGGCTCTGGTTGCCTCATGAAGGCCTAACTGTAGGAGGCAGAGGCAGAGCATTTAGGCGGCTTCTGAAGGAATCAAGCAGAAAGCCATGTCGAATCTAGATGAGCCTCGATGACAGCAACAACAAAGAGAAGCGGTGAAATGCTTGGCTGGAGGTGTGACTCAGTGGTAGAGACAGGTGTGGTGGCACACACGTGTGACCCCAGCACAGGGGAGGAGGGGCATAGGCAGACAACTAAGGCCTTCTGGCCAGCCAGCTGAGCCTAACTGATGAGCTCTGAGACAAATAAACAAGGAAGATGGCTCCTAAGGAACAACAGCCAAGGTCGACTGACCTATGGCCTCCATGGTCATGTGCACGCATATGCACATGCACTCAGACAGACACACACACACACACACATACACACACACCACAAATA